TCTTCAGCTTCTTCACTCCCAAAAGAGAAGAACATTCCCTTTGGATCTTTACATTAATAGCATAAATGGGTTTTCTCTCCTTATCCCTCTTCTCGCATCTCTCAGTAAAACCCTAAATCCATCTTCTCATGTCTCCGATTTTTCTCTCATGGCACTAATCGACTCCTCAATTTGTAACTCCTTGTAACTCCACCCATCAATTACCTCTCCTCTCTCATAACCCAACCTCCTTGATCTATCTCATCCCATCCCATTACATGATCAATAAATTGTCACTAATTGCAATGCCTACTCAAATTTCCTCCTTTCTCAACTCCAATTTGAATGAAAATATTAAATTCACAGAGCCTCTTGCTTATACAAATTGCTAATTTTTTGGATTATAATGAAGAAAATATAATCTAATTCCTTGATGGTAAATATTGATTTTTTGTAAATTGTAATTGTAATAATTGTAACTGTAATTATAATTATAGTTTCTTATTCTTCATTTCTTATTATTATTATGTAGTTTGTCGATTATCAATTGCAATTTGCTCTCTGTTGGTAATATTTTTTGTTAATTTTCCTTTTTGTTGGTAATATTTTTATTTTGTTAATTTTTCTTTTTATTTTTTATGATGTAGTTGTTGGAGGGATTTGCTGTTGGTGGCAGAACTCATCTATCAAGGTAACTATTTCATCATATTTTATTATTTTCCATTAATCAACTTATGCTTTATTTTACTGGAAAATAGCCTTTTAATATCATTTCACCTAAATTTCTAAATTTTTAAAGAGTTTAGCATTGTAAATTTCTAGAGGTTGATAATATAAATTAAAATGAATGGTTTTGCAGTCTGATATACAGGACTGTTGATTTATTTTGTCAGTTTGGGTACTCTATCAATTTACATACTATGACTTGCTTGTTAGAGATAAGAATTTAAAAACAGATAGAGAGTGCATGCTTCTAAATCAGCTCTTGGACATAAATATAAATGTAAAAGCCCTCATCCTTCATGGTTTCTTTTCTTTCTTTTTCCTTTTATGCCAACATGTGTTTGTGTTCACAATAGCAGTGTTTTATTCTACCTAACCAACATAATAAAGTTCCACACCAACCATTTAACAAGTTTTATAAATTTTTATTACTCATGTCCTTCGAAATTCACCAGTTCTCCTCATTTCGAATTATATCTGACAACTATAAGATGATTATTACTCATGTCCTTCGAAATTCACCAGTTCTCCTCATTTCGAATTATATCTGACAACTATAAGATGATTTTTAGTATGATTTGTCGAAATTCACCAGTTCTCCTCATTTCGAATTATATCTGACAACTATAAGATGATTTTTAGTATGATTTGTGCCATGAAATTTAGTGAAGTTGCACCTTATAGTAATGAGGACGACCTTAATATATAACACGGTCATTATTTCAAACTATATCTATTATTTTATTGGATATGGATATAACTGGTAGGTTGGCATATAATTTTCGAAAGTTTTTAACACGTCTTCTCAATCTGAAGTTGTATTCAGGTGTTAAACTACTGGATAGGAAGTTGTGATGACATGGTGTTCACGATGTTGGGATGACAAAAGTTTGTGCAGGTTGGGTTATGTATCAGCTTTAATGGATTGTGGTTCTCGGACATAGCGTCAGGTTCTTTAGGCAAATGTATATTTAGAATTAAAAAAAAGAATCCTCCAAAATTCAAAGAAATATGTTCAAATAAATGGACAAATATAAATAATACATATTGGAGACTTGTTAACACAGTAGCTCAGATTTATTCTTTTAGAGGAAAAAACCTTAGCTTTGTTTACTTTACATAAAAGAGATATAAACAATGATTGACAATGATCCTTATTTCAGGTTTCGAGTGTGGATGAAGTGTAGGAAGCTTTTATATGCCGGGAGGCTCCAACTTCTTAAAAGTGTTATTATAGGCATTCAAATATTTCGGACTAGCAATTATATTTTGCCAAAAAAAAATACTGAGCAACATAGATGATTTATACGAGAGCTGTCTATGGGAGAAAACTAAGCAATCTATAAACATTTCTCTACTTTTCTAGAATATTGTTTGTTAACAAAAGAGAGATTGTGGTTTAGAAATGTATCCTATGAGGACCTCGAATGTTGTCATTGCTATCAATTTTATTTAGCTCATTCACCTAAAAATGGTTTTTTATGCATCAAATGGATCCATAATACTTACTTAAAAAATGCAACTCTTTTGCAGGATCAAGCTAACCAAGGGGACTCTTGGATGTGGAAGCAAATATTAAATGTTAAAGATTATGCTACTGGATATTTTGGTGGTGCAAATGGCTTGATTTCAACTATTCATGCTAACTATGATGGGAATAATATTAATCTATGATTTATATTGTAAATTATCATTTATATTTTCACCTGTTCAGTAGAGTAATACTATAGGAAATTCCGGTCTATACCTAAGCACTTCTTCATATTATGTCACGTTTTTCATTCTAAGCTCCTTACCTATGATCAATTATGTTATATGGCGATTTTCTCTTCAAACCAACTTGTGCTTAGTGTGCAGGGTCTTGAAGAGAATCACAATCACCTATTTTTTAGTGTGTTTATTCAATACAAGTTTGGAATGAGATTATGAATTGTAATGTTCGAGTGGAAGCCTCGCTATTAAAATTATCTTGTTGACAGGTTTCTTGCATAATAAGAGGGAACATATTCAAACAATAGTTGAAGAGGATGAGTTTTTAAGCTACCACATATACACTCTAGCAAAAAAAAATTACGTATATTTGTTCAGAGATCTACGGAGCATAATGTCATTGTCAATGATATTAACGCTTTAGTTTTAATAGTAAATTGGACGAGGAATGTAAGAGCTGGAATGAAGAATCATAATCTTGTCTTTTGGATGCTTTTGTAATTTGATGCTTTTGTAACTTAGGTCCTTATGCTGAGTTTGTGATGTACCCCAAATGTTCAATGGTGAACGAAATAAAGCTTTTCCATTTACCAAAAATAAAATAAAATATATAAACAATGATCTCATGTCAGGTATATTTTGCACACATCAAGACTCAATATATACACTCAAATTGTAGTTAGCATCTGATCTCCTAAAGTTTCAGCCATTTTAATATCAAACTTGTAAAGCTTTATGCTTTATGCGTACAGTTTTTTGGTCAATTTTATCTAGAATGATTTATTATGTTCTCATGCAATTTTTATTTAACGTGTTCAAATAAAAATTCATTTAACGTAGTTGTTCCTATACTAATCAATCTATTTAATAAATAACTGTAAGGTTGTTGAGTGAAAAATATTAGTTGCCCTTCAAATAATTCAACTCTTATAATTTCTTAATATGCATCACGTGCATCGCACGTATTGCATACTAGTGTACTTAAAATAAGACAAGCAGCAAATAGAAATGCAATATAGGCTATGATGACAAAACTCGGCTATAAATAAAATGGCATACAATTTTTTCAAAGGATGCTCTTCAAGGCTGCAACATTAGGAGCTAACTCCACAGAAAGTCAGTGAGTATTTGAAAGCTCAAAGTTAAATCAAGATGCAGTAAAGGACAGAATGTAGTATCTCCTACCTGGAAAGTGAATAATCCTCAGCTTTGATGTTTCCGATTGTATCATACACCTTCAATTAGTTAATTAAAGAAATAAGTAATCCTGCAGATCTAAAATTCTAGAACTTTATCATTCAGATCAATAAGATTCAAAAAGAAATTGTAAGAAATTTACGGTGGCACTCTTACAAACTTTTCCATAGGAAAGAGGTTTCCTGGGAATAGACTTGTGTAGTGTTGACCAAAAATTGGGTTAGATGAATATTAACTTACTGGAAGGCAGGTTATCATCTGAAACTCGTTCTTGCACATTGGACAGAGACTTGTGATGGTAGCCCAGTTGTCAATGCACGCAAAACAAAACCTGACATTCAGTAAATGTATTTATAAGTGCAAGAACTTAGAACATTCATCTTAAAAAAAACGTCTATAGATTGTCAGGAACCAATATACAGTGCAAGAGATTTCGGGTCTGTTGTAGATGGAGAAAAGTGGTAAAGAGAAATGAAATCATGCAAAACATACTAGAACAAGTCATGTTTGAAAGCAACAAAACAAAGGCCTGAGAAAAAGAGGGCATGATGTGAGCACATGCCGCAGAGAAAAAAAGGGCATGAAGTGAGCATATGCAAGGAAAAAAAAAAAGAGGGCATGACATGAGCACAGGCCAAAAACAAGGGCAAGGATCCGACAAACAAAGAAATTGCTCACTGAGAAGAATAGTTTTAAAGCTAGAAACCTAGGAAATGCGAAGCTTATGTATGTTAATCATTGAGAGGATTTAAACAAGGAAAAGTATCCGTCAGAAAGTTATTAGGATAATGTGCGGGGAAGTATTTGAAGCTGAGACAGACAGAGGAACCTGCATGCCCAGGACCTACCAGTGATTGCAACAGTCTAGAACCCCTCTGTCTATGACAATATCTGTACATATTCCACATGTCCCATTATCAACTGCAGTGTCGTCCTGCATTGGTTAATGAAGCTGCTACATCAAAAACAAAGAACAGAGCAAACAAAGTTGCAAAAGGATTGGAAACTTATATATTAGCTCTAATTTGTGGTATTCATGTTCTATATATGACATGCTTACCGATAAGTCAAATGATAAACGTGAAACTGAAATGAAACTTGCACTTGCACATGCCAATTAATTGTGTTAACGTGCTGATGCTCGTACATAAGGTCTATTGGAAAGGAATGATTTGATTGCATAGTTTGCAGTGTTAGGGAATGACACAGAGGAACTTTACATATGGAAGAAAGGGCTACACTTGATAATAATTTCTTCCTTTACATATTTGGGGTCATTTTTTAACAAATTTGAGTCATTTGAGAAGATGGTGTAAAGCAGGCATCAATAATCTTCACAATGAGACATGCCACCTTATGCTGAAGGTATAGCAAACATACTTAAAGATTAACAAAACCTACAGCTGCATATGAATCTAGAACCCTGCAGCCATCTAAATATGTCATGTGTGTATGTTCATAAATATTTTAATGTACAGATCAGAAGGGTATGTAATCATACAGAAGGCATGTGGCAACAATTTGCTGTCTTTTGAAGTCTGTTAATACTTAATTTATTTCTATGCAAAATTTGCAGTATATTCTACTAATCAAACTCCAGGGAGTAGTGAACTGTCCATCTTATGACTTCATAAAAAAGAGACCATCAAAGCCGAGGATAACTCAGCCAATAACCCGTCGCATGCTTTACAAAAATAGGTGCCATTTTAAGATGTATGTAAGATTGCAACTCAATGAGTAAAAAATATTTATGTTTGTATTATGATCGTTGATTATATGGTATTGTATTACAAGATTAAGCTAAAGATAAATGTATGCTGAGACTACGTAGAGTATTAATGTTCGTAGATAATAAAGCCTGCTTTGTCCTAGAAATAAGCCAATGTTTGGAAACTTTTGGAAGCCCTGCACATTTTCTAGATGTTTGGAAGCTCGGTCTTACTTCAAGCCGTTCGTCAGAATTCTGTGTCACTAATTAGCTATAACAAAGGATATTCACCTCCCGCAATCCCACCACCAGAAAGCAATATCATCCGCATATATGCAGATTATGGTCCCATATTTCTTAGCTTTTGACTGATGGGGGAAACTTAATATTTGAAGCGTAACATGCACGCCAATGTTTTCCTCATCAGGAAGCATCACCTTCAGAGCCATTTAGGAAGCGCGCACATCAGCATTAACTAGTATTTCAACAATAGTACCCGAACCATTTCACGGTTTTTGACGATAAAATAAGCATCATTGCTACTTAGGCTAGAAAATTCTTGAACAAGGCTTTCATTTGTAATAATGATGGTGAAATCGATGAGAAGCAAGCAAACCTCATAAAACCCAAAATTTTAGCAATTCGTGCTATAGCTACCGAATAAAAAAAATTATGCTTTAAATAGGATTGATGTCTGTAGTTTTGGTTCTCTATCGAACATGATAATTGTTTCCGTACAGAAAACTTACTTAATAGGGGCAGAACTTAAATAAAAGCAGGACCATTGCCAATTTGCTTGAATCCCTAACCACTTAGCCATAAAGAAAGAATCCTCATTTAGCTCAGAAAAACTTGTATTTATCTCAGATGACGTTGAAAATTTGGATAAATTCATAATACCTCTACGTTTATCTATTAAAAGGCAACTTTTGGAGACAATTAGGGTTCTTGATTAGATAAGGGATTTTCGGAATTAGGTTTTCGAAGAAGGATCGAGGATTTCGATTTTGGTTGATCGGCGTCAAATTACTTAGAAAAATAAAGGAACGGAGATCGTGATAACTCTATGATGATGAAAATACAAGCAAAATATATAGCATTTACCGGCGACCGCTGGTCGGTACCCATTACCGGCGACCACTGGTCGGTTTCCATTGCCGGTGATCACTGACGAAGTCGCCGGTTTATTTGGATCCTGGTTCCGGCTAAATATATGTGACTGAACCCACTTACATTGAGGTGAAAAGGTCGGAAGTGAAGCTAACAAAAGAAAACTCCGGTAGTATTTTGGTTGCAGTATACTTTTGGTAATTACGGTCTGGAAACTGTAATTCTGAAATGAATAAATTTTCAAAACAGCCCTCAAACTAGTTTTTAATTTTCAAAACCGACCCTTTTTTTTTAATCAAAATCGACCCACTTTTTGCCACGTCAGCTTAATCTCATTTCCTAATTAGTCGGGGTTGCCAACCTCGACTATTTAGGACATAAAACATCGGGTTTAAGGTTTCTAATTGGGGTTTAACAACCTCCTAAAAAGTCGGGGTTGCCAACCCCGACTGTTTAGGAATGAGATTAAGCTAACGCGGCAAAAAGTGGGTCGATTTTGGTAAAAAAAAGATCGGTTTTGAAAATTAAAAACTGGTTTGAGGCTGTTTTGAAAATTTATTCATTCTGAAATAGATTTTGATAAAACGGATTAATTACAGTCTGGTACCCCAAGTTATGGTGTAATTACATGAGTAATCATCGGCCTATCTACACCAATTAATCCTGAGATTATTAGATGTAACTATAAAGGTGACCCCCAGAGCCCAGATGACTAGCAGCTCCTAAGATTAAATATATGTAACTACAATACATAGTTTCATGATTACTCATGTAGATACGTAAATCATAAAGTCACTCATGTGTAATTACACCATATCTCAATTTACTGAATTGTAAATAATCCATCATGAAAATAAAATTATACGTATACTATAAAGTCACTTTTGTGTAATTACACCGTATCTCAATTTACTGAATTGTAAATAATCCATCATGAAAATAAATTTGGGAAATTTTTTTTGCCTCCGCCATTGGGAATGCCAAAACTTGTGTGATATCCTAAAATGACAAGCCGAAGGTGGAAATTTTATTATGCTCTTTTCTCGTGATCTTATACTTATCAATTTCACCCTTTTCTTTTGCCTCCTTTCTTCCTCTACTCTTCTCAAAGCTTCATGCAAAGAGCATCAATATGTCATAGACTAGGCAATAAAAAATTAAAAAAAATAAAGTATTAAAACAAAATTTATAGGGTAGAGAAAGATATGAAGATAGTAATATTTGGAGAAAGCATCCAGTAAACCTGATCCATGCCATAAAATATGCACCAAAAAATCGTCACCCACTTTATTCATGCACAAATCTCATAATCTAATAATCTAATGTTTGATAGACATTTATTTGACATTTAATGTCGGAAAAATTTGTAAAATAGACTATTTTTATGAAATATATAGCGAAATAGACCACTTTGAAAAATAATTAGCAAAATAGACCTCTTTTAAAAAAAAGAGGTCTATTTTGAAAAACAAGGCTCAGAAAACATACGGGACTACTAGTCCCGTATGTTTAGAGCCAACTAATCACAGATTAGTGACTCAGAAAACATACGGGACTAGTAGTCCCGTATATTTTCTGAGTAGAAATTTTTACTAATCCGTGATTAAAACATACGGGACTACTAGTCCTGTATGTTTTCTGAGCGGTTTTGCAAAATAGACCTCTTTTTTGCCTGTTGGCCAAAAAGAGGTCTATTTTGCTAATTATTTTTCAAAGTGGTCTATTTCGCTATATATTTCATAAAAACGGTCTATTTTGCAATTTTTCCCTTTAATGTCATGAACCTTGGTCTACTTGATATTTCCTTAAATAATTCATTAATAATTGTAGAAAGTAGTGGGAAAAAAGAATCCAATAATTGACAAACAATTCATTCATGTGACTATTCGGTCCTATTTGAACCAATAGCTCATTTAACGGTAAACAAATACTTTTTAGTATTTGTTTTTAGTATTTGGTTGATAAATAAATAAAATTTAATCCAATGTATATTCAGCTCGTTTGATTATCAAATATTTGTTGAGCATTTTCTCTCCTGTAATTTGTACTATTATAAGCATAATATTATGTTTTTTTAAGTATCTATATTTTTATTTGAGTTTTATACTAATTTAGACAAACTCAAATAGCTCTATATCAAATTTCAAACAAAATTTATTTAACCATATAGAAACATCTTTTTTATTAACAAGTTTAACATTCACAAACTATGAATTATAAATCAAATAAAAAGATGGCAATGTTTTGATCAATATTTGTGAATATTTGAAAAGTATTTGGATTCAAAGAAATTCATAGAATGATTTTTATTTAAATGTTTAATTGAATATAAATGTAAACATCTTTCTATTCTATTCGATTCATTTCTAGCTCTAAAAAGAGGTAATTAGTCAATAAAAAAATAGTTTTGTAGGCTGTCTAAAAATCACTACAGATAGTTTATCCCCATCAAACACCGATGATGGAAGTTACAATCTGACGACTTTTAGAATGTTATAATTTGAAGACTTTCACGTAGATCAATGAATGTTACAATCTGACGACCTTCACAATAACTGATGAAAACTCTAATCAACAACCTTCACAATCAACATTGGGAGTTACAATTTGACGACTCTCGCATATCAAAGAGCTAAAACAAAGATTACAAAATAACGATCTTTGCAATGCTTTGACAGAAAGAGACTACAAATTGACGGTCTCTTCAAATCAAGATGCGGAAGTCCTTCCCGCGTACCAGCATCAAGACGCACCGCGTTCACAGCCATTGACGCAGTGCAAACGCAACTCACATTAAGCTCCAAACGCTGCAAACGCAGCTCAGATCCAGCTGCCAAAGCAGCTCAAGTTCGGCCTCAAACGCAGCCTCCAAAAGCTTCTAACGCAGCTTCCATCCGCTGCCAAACGTAGCTCCTAAATGCTGCCAACGCAGCTTCTAACAAGTTGCCAACGCAGCTTCCAGACGCTGCAAATGAGCTTCCATCCGCTGTCAAACGCAGCTCTTAAATGCTGCCAACACAGCTTCTAACAAGCTGCCAACGCAGCTTCCAGACGCTGCAAATGAGCTTCCAGACGCTTCGTCCGAGCTTCCGGATGCTGCATTCAAGCTTTTTAGGCACTGTGTTTAGATGCAGAATTCACGTCAGAATGCGGATTTTGCGTTTGACTCGTTCAAACACGAGCTGAACGGTTTCAAAACCGTTTCCCACGATCTGAGGGGTTCGCAACTCCACTCAGGAGTGATTTAAGGGGGGGGGTTACATCTCATTACCCCACTTAGGAGCGAATTAAGGGGCGGTTACACCCATTAATCCCCTATAAATAACTAAGAAATCGGCTTAGTTCGGGACTTTTAGGGCTCTGATCCTTCTCCTTGGCAGCAAAGAAGAGATCATTGACTTGTCTAACCAATTACGGTTAAGATCAATCAACTCATCAAGAGTTCTAAAACTTGCTTTGCAAGTTCTCCACAGCGTCAAATCGTAAGGAGAAGATACCGTTCCAGTGAATCAAGACGTTTGGATCGTCAACGGAGAGCAAACTCGACGCGAGCATTCGAGGGAGGCACTCCATCGCCACCGTGAAGAACCCAGAATTAAATAAAGGGAAGAATGCAGATCATTCTCCTCTCTTTTGTAATCGGAATTCAAATTGTAATTAAGATCGAAAGAATACAAATCAAAGTTCTTCCATTTCTTTTACTACGAATTTTCCTCAAACAGGTTTGTAAGAAGATGGTCCATAAACCTTAGCTTACAAATAGTTTTACAAAATAGTTCATAGAAATTAAATAAAAGTTTTTTTTTATTTCTCATAGCTTAATATGGCTACGACTATTATTTGTTGGAATGAATTTGATAACTTATTTCCATTTATCATTCTTGCAACACAAGCTTTTTAGGAGTTGGAATGCCGGTTCTCTAGAAATGCTCTCTCATCCATTATATAAGAATGATCATTCCCATTTAAGTGGGGATTTAAAAAAAACATACCTTTGAATTAAGTTTAATCTCGTTTCATTTTGTAGCTGCACATAAAATATGAAAATGAGATTGAACATTCTGTTTCTTGCCCCTTTCCGTTCTCATTTCACTTGATTTTTGTGTACTAAATAAGGTTAGGGGCAAATGTTAGGGGCAAATGAGAGGAAACTTTTTTTCTTTCCCGGAAGATACACGATAACTAAGGGGCTGTTTGGTTATTTCCTAAAAACCCAAAAAATAGAAATGCAAATCATGAAAACTCAAAAAGTACAATTTTACACATTTTCATCCCTAAAACTCACCCACAACATCTAATAAAATATTATATTTATCCAACAACTCATCCATCACATCTAATAAAATATTTTTTTCATCCAACAACTCATCCATAACATCCATCATATCTAATAAAATATTATTTTCATCCACAACATCACTCAACTCATCTCATCTCATATTTAAAAATTACTCACATCATCCAATAAGATTGTGACAACTCATCTCATCAAAATTTCATTTCTTTGTTTTCCTCCTAAAAAACTAGGAAAACAATTTCCTTAAGTGTGGGTCATATCATCCAATAATATAATAACAACTCATCTCATCTCATATATTTTCTTATTTTTAGGGGCTGTTTGGTTCGTTTCCTTGATATAGAGAAATGCAATTCCATGTAAAGAAACACAAGTTTTGAGTTTTCTAAAATTTTCCAAGAAATAGATTGTTTTGCTTTGGTTCGCGCATAAAAAATGGTGGGAAACCAATGTATTTGTTTTCCTTGTGTTTGGTTCGCATAGAAAAAAAAAGAAAACTTTTGTAAACAAAGCAGAGAAGAAAAAAAATCTGACGTGGCAGAGTTTTCATCAATTTCACTTGGTTGGGGAAGGAAATCGGAGAGGGAAAAAAAATCTTAATTGTCAGCTATTTCAGCAGAGTTTTCCCTCTTCCATCCGAGCGAACCAAAGCAGCACAAAGAAATGGACGGAAACAAAAAAACTGACGTGGATGACTAAAAATCTGACGTGGAAGGGTTTTCTGAGTTTTCTACCCCTTATAATAGCGAACCAAACAGCTCCTTAAGAAATAACCAAGCAAAAGAAAACAACCTATTACAAGAAATATGTTTCTTATAATTTATTTCATTATTTTTTCGCCAACCAAACAACATCAAAACAAGTTTTCTTAAAAAATCACTCACATCATCCTATAATAAGGTGACAACTCATCTTTATTTCTTTGATTTCCTTCTTTTTTTAGCAAACCAAAAACTCCCAAAACAATTCTTTGATTTAATAGTTTTCCATTTCTTTGATTTTCAATTTTTTTAGGCAAACAAACAGGCCCTAAAAGGAAATGTAAAACTAACATCAAAGGGCAGGATTTACTTAGGAGGCTAATTTAATAAATACCCACACATAGTTAAAGCCCTAATCCAATCATGGTTTAAGAACTTGGATGAATTTTGCAACGAAGTTACTAATTTTAAACTATCTCAAGTGCTTTGGTTTGGGGGACCTAATAGCAATTTCAATGAGTTTGGAGACTAATTCAAAATATGAAGATATCGTTTAACTCAAACGAAAATCAAAATCCGCATGCAAACGCGGGTCTATTACTTATCAGGTGTGGATCGTATTCACGTCTAGGGGTGGAAGTGAACCAAATATTTAATAAACAATTCGATTAATATTCGTCCAGATATCTAGTCATATTCGATCCGACAGTTCATTTAATACTAAATAAATATTTTTTAGTATTCGACTTATAAACAAATAGAATGAGTATTAACTATTTGATAACTTTTTATATGTTAATCCTATTAATTAAACTTGTTGCAAATATTAGCCATCAATCCTATTAATTAAACTTTTATTACAACTTCTACCCATATCTAAATGGGCATAGAGGGGCTAGGGTTTCACGATCACTGAGTTTCCACTTTCCGCTTCCTCCCACCCTCCGACGCCGTCCTCCCTCCCCGCGACGACGCCTCCTCCTTCCCCGCGACGACTCTCTCTTCCCTCTCCGAGGACCTGCGCTCCTCTCTCTCCGACGCCCTCCTCCCTCCCTGCCGACGCTGTCCTCCCTCGCCGCGACGACGCCCTCTTCCCTCGCTGACGACCTGCGCTCCTCCCCGTGACGACGCCCTCGTCCCTCCCCGCGACGACGTCCTCATCCCTCCCCTCGACGACGCCCACTTCTCTCGATCTCTGCAGATCTTGGAGATTTCGTGCCGTGATTCTTTGCTTTTTCTCACTGGAAGGGTAAAAAAAACCCTTTTGTTTACTGATTATATTTATTTTTTATGATTTTCGAATTATTAGCGAATACATATCAAATATTTGACGAATAATTCGAAATCAAAGTTGCAGAGTAATGCTAATCGAATATTTGACGAATAATTGGAAATCAAAGTTGCAGAGTAACGCTAATCGAATATTCGTGAATTTTTTCAAACATCAATATAAATAAACAAAGCCAATTCGAATTTGTATTACTATTCTAATTCGAATTCGAACACGAATAGCATCATATAAACCGAACTCGAATTTGAACATTGCACTATTCGTTCAAATTCGATTCGATTCCACCCCTATTCACGTCTCACTTCTTCGTCGAGTAGAATTGTGGATCTGGGTGGATGTACCTTTATCTGTTTTCACGAGAAAGGATGAATCCGATCCAAATCAAATATCAGGTACATCACGAGAATCACAACCCTAAAAAATCCCAAAGCCCAAATCGATTTGATCAGTTCGCTCCGCCCAAATCAGCGTTTCTAGTTTCTACGAACAACAGTCAATCGCTTCCTTTCGCTCTAATCCAGCTCCCCTTGATCTCTCTCAAGCGCCATGGTGTCGAAAACAGAAGGAATCGCTCTCTTGTCCATGTACAACGACGAGGAGGAGGAAGAAGAAGAAGAAGAAGAACAGGAACACCAGCAACATCTCCACCAACATCAACAGAAAGAGGACGGCTCCGCCGCCGGAGTTCGAACCGATCAAGAAACCGAGAAGACGGTGCACGATAGCGCTTCTGAGCCTCATACAGGCTACTTCCCCACAAAATCCCCTCAAAATCTCAGTTCTCCATCGCCCGAGATCAAATCCCTTAGGAGCCCCACTCCACCGCCGTGGCCGAAATCTCAGCGCTCGACGCCGATGCATCACGCTCCGTCGCCCTCGCCCACACCTCCTCCTGAGGCTGTTAACAGGCAGAAGAGGAGAAGTGGAGCCCTAGGGATTGTGGACTACGAGCACGATGAAGCGGCAATGTCACCAGAATCTGAGGTAATTTCAACTTGTTATTGGTTTGGTGTTTGGAATTTTTTGTTGGTTTGATTGCTTGTGCATTTTGCAGGAGGGGGAGATAATAATGAGCACGGGCGGAGTGGTGGTTGGAATGGATACTCAGACTCCTGATGGTAACTGTTCTTTCTGATAATGTATTTGGTTATAAAACTAATCGATTTTGATGTAAGCTGGTTCATATCATTGATTTTATATTTGATCTAGATGAGCTTCTATAATCTTCACTTTGCCTGCATCTAGATTAAACAAGCAGGAAAGGCAACATATTGTTCTTGCTTGGCTTTGACCTGTTAAAACTAACAAGCACAATTATTAGAAAATGAAGGTCACCTAGGGGAATCTAAATAAAATTTGTTCTGTTTTAGGAGGAGTAATGTCTGGGATACTAAATATAACGACATACATGTCACTCGTATCTCAATTGTTCTGTTTTAGGAGGAGTAAAGCCTGGGATACTATGAGGGTGTTTGGGAGGGGCTTATTTTTAGAAGTTTTTAAGCTATGTTAACTTTTGGCAGCTTTTGGCTTTAATGATAAGAGTTGTATAAAATTTGTTTGGGTAGAATAGTAATTTGTTTGGTAACACTTAACTTATTGAGGTGAGTTTATAAGCTAGTTTTTCAAAAACTAGGAGAGTGTTTGGGAAGGCTTATTTTTTGAAACTTATAAGTTATGTTAGCTTTTAGTGGCTTTTGGCTTTTATAATAAAAATATTATAAAAATTGCTTGGATGGTATAGTAATCTGTTTGGTCAAACCTAGCTTATTTAGGTGAGCTTATAAGTTGGTTTTTCAAAAGCTGAGGTATACTAGCTTTTTAAAATGTGACTTATAATCTAAGTTATTTTGTATTTTACCAAACATGTAAAAATAAAAATGCTAGCTTAAAAGCTAGTTTGACCAAAAAATAAGCCGTCCCAAACACCCTGTAGGCATACCATAAAATAGTGCTTATAAGCTAACTTATTTGATATTTTACCAAACATGTAGATATGAGAAAGCTAACTTATAAGCTAGTTTAACCAAAAAATAAGCCCCCTAATCGACCTCTATGTGGCATGTGCAATTTGCATAGTCGGAAAAGAAAGTCCAAACTTGGTTTCATTCTATCCTCATTTGAAACATTTCCTTTCAAATTCATGCAGCAAGTGAACTTTAATTAGGGAAAATTTTAAACCCTTGAGTATCTTTCCAGCCCCTTCGACTAAAAATGTATACCAATTAACTAGATTCATTCAAGTTTACAAATAGATTCTATAATACTGCAGAAATAAAATTATCTGAGAATTAGAAAAGTTAAGACTGAATAACATGTATACATGCATAAATGAAGGAACAAGGTCTCAGATGAAACATATGGGTTTTGGCCATCTCGGATAGGCTTCCATAGGACATGTTTTGGTTTAAATATTTCGAAGAGACAGCCTATAAAAAATTGCATTGGTTAAATACAGGTCAGTTGCAGTTCAAATTTAGATAACTTCTGAAATTCTATAGAATGAGGACAATGGGGAAATAAACTCGGCTCTTGTTCCTTCATCCTCCTGGTTGCCTCTCTTTGCTTCACCTTTCGTTTAATTTTGGTTCCATTTAGTTTAAACCTTTAACCGGTTAATTGTTTGATTGCGTAACTTGATTTTCATTGTTTCAACCACCAAATTATTGAAGTAACTAGTCAAGTAGCAGAATTTTTAGATTTGGCTTATTGCATATTATTAAGTAGATACCAATAATGCTCAAAAGTACTTAAACCACAATATCAGTTGGCAACTGCTATCTTTAGTATGCATACATAAATATGCTAGACATTCATATCGAAAAGTGATTCCCAAGGAAAAACATATAGAAGCTAGCCAAACCACTCAAAAACCTATTTGCAAACTGAATCAGAGTTGTTGAACCTTGGTGTAAGCATATGCACTATTGAACTAAGTTTCTGTTTTCCAGGGGATTATGGGTGAAAAAAGTTGTATAGTGGATTATCTAGATAAATCAATGGCTTGTTGTTAAAAATCTTCAGCAATTCAAATAAGGTGGCCTGCACAGTTTCTTGTGTGGAAAAGTTTACTTGTCAGATGAAGTGCATTGGATAAGGGGCTACGATTCTGTCTGCTTTCTCGCTTTGTAAATTTGTTATGTTTATATGTTAGAAATTTCTGTGGTCATAATAGGTAACCAGTGGTTCTCTGGATGCAGCCCTCTCTCATTGTAAGGAAAAAAAGCAGCTCTCCCATTCCCCATAAAATAGGACGTGCTATGTTTTGCAAAAAAGTCAAGTACAAAATTCATACTTTTTATATTTATTCATGTTACTTTGTCATTTTGCATCATGCCTCTTGCGAAAGTTAATTTTGCGTAATTTGTGCATTTCTTTTTCTTTTACAGTATGCTTTATAGTTTATACCTGGTTTTGCTGGTAAACTTTACACATCTTTGTTTAGTCTACTTGCCTAGCATCTTCATCTAGTGATACTTGCATGTTTATCCTTATATCAGCTATATGTTTGGTTGCAAGGATGACACAAGGGTGAATGATTGTGTATTCCATCTGCCATGTTCAACTTGAGTTTTGAGATATCAATATGTTTTACATAGCTTTATGCCTTTATGTTTCTAGCCTTTTACTTTGTCACTATGTGTTCTCTGCAACATTAGATTCTAACCATGTTAGCACCGAGAAACAAGAACTTGGTATTGGGTTGGAGAAGCTACATGGACGCCTTGGTGCGAATTTAAAGTAAATACTTGAAATTAGTAAATAAATAATGTCCTGAAAGATCGAGGAGGATGGAATTGTGCAAGGTCCTAGGCTCCTAGGTTCAAAACGAGGCTATGGCCTTCTTTAAAAAAAATGAAAAGGTACCATATGACTGATATCATACTATGGATGCGAGAAACATATTTACTTTTTAGGTTACAACTTATGTACAAGTTATTGAATTTTTACATGCTTCTGATGCAGAATAATTAATATATGATATAGTCATGGAAAAAGTGGAAAAGGGAGATAGCTTCACTGGACAATTTTTAAATGGAAAGAGCTACATAGAAAATTTGAACAAAAAAGCTGATGTAGATCTCACAGAATAGATTCCCTAAAAAATCTTATAATTGAAATAAAATGTAGTTTAAGAGGAAATAGTATCAACTAGTGATATCTTAGCATTAAAAGCTGTATAACCGTCTTGTCATCATCCTTGGAGCAATATGATACATGATTACATCAATCCTTCAAGTTCTTATTCACTCTTTAAGTGTTCCATATTTAGAAATTAGATCTTCTTAAGCATCTGCATTTTCTAGTCTCATTTTTTTCTTTCTTCTTTTCTAAAAAAATGTTTTTAATTTCTGTAGGGAATTTTGAAGAAAGAACACCTTCTGGAAGTGTTCGACTCTTGACACCAAGCACTCAACCGGAACTTCCTCAACCTTCTGATTTACCTGAAGAGCCAAGATCTGAGACCCTTATGGCAATTGATTCTACTGGAACAGAGCCTAAAATAGCTGAGGCTGAGATAGTTCCTGTTATTTCCGAAGAAGTAAAAATAGATGATCCACTGAATAGTTTTCTTCCTCCTCCCGTGTTGTCAAAGTGCGCTGAAGAGCTGCAGGTATTTTATTTCTTTAACAAGAACCTGATGAATTGTTTTAGATGCTTTCAAATCATGTTTTTACTTCTAAATTTCTGTGAGGATTAACTGGAAGGAAGATTGCAAGAATGGGAATTGGGAACTATGCATTATATATTCTAGCTGCATTGCAACTAGCAACTGTGGTTTCTTCTAACACTAGTCCTTAATGATTAAGCGGGTAGGTGTTATCTATACACAACCATGATATACAATACGAGACCTTGCATCTTTGGCCCAACTTTTATGCATTGTTTCCGGCAGCCGATTTATGAGGTCAAAATACGTCGCATTGTTGCAAAGGTTACTCATAGTGTCTCATGCTATGCTGCCAGTCTGTCCCACATTCCCACATTGTTAAGAGTGGTATAAAAGTTTCAAGTTTGGTTGAAGGCTTGAAAACATTCTCAGGTAAGAGAGCACATTTTGTTTATTTGTTCCCTCTATTCATAGGTTAGATGCCCTTCTGTAAGCCTGAAGTAAATAATCCTCTCAGGGAACAGATTACCTTTTCGCTTTGTTTCCCTGAAGCATGCACAAATTATTTGTGTTTTTCTGTGTCGAAGTTTGTAGGAAATTCCTGTTTGTCAAGCCTAAGATGGAAAAATTCTTTGCAAGTTTTTTGATTCTGGACTAATACCAGTTAAGCAAGTTATTAGGACACCTTTTCACCCCATTTTGGAGTTGTAGATTTTGATTGTGACTTGTACCTACCGAATTAGGGATGTGTGGAATATAAATGAAAGCTCCATCTCCGTGGGTTTATGTTAGACTGCGAGTTTGTTTGATAGTAAGACACGTGATCTTTATAAATGTCCATGATACCCATGTCCTTGTATGAGGTAGGATTAGATTCTTCAAATCTTGTAATGCATTTGCGCATTCAGAGAAGTTATCTAAGGGCCTGTAGTTTTTGGATTGTCAAAAAAAAGTTGTGTTTATGATTAGACTGCGAGTTTGTTTGACAGTAAGACACATGACCTTTATATATATCCATGATACTCATGTCCTTGTATGAGGTAGTATTAGATTCTTCAAATCTTGTAACGCATATACACATTCAGAGTGTTATATAAAGGCCTATAGTTTTTGGATTCTCCAGGGAAAAAATTAAAAAAGAAAAATTGTATATGATGCCCATGACCCATGTTTGGAGTAAGTTCATGAGTATGTAGTTAATATTCTTGGTAATGTCTTTCACACACACATACATATACGTACACACATATGCATATATGTAGACAATGACACTC